ATAAACGTATGTATGTAATTTTATAAAAGTAGAAAATTGTTAGCAATTTTTTGTAGTAGTAGTTGAGGAATTTCCATGGTGATAATGTAACACTAAAATGATATTATGCATACTTTTAAACGCAATATATGTACATATAGTATGTATGTAATAATTTATGTTTTGTAAGTGATAATTTATATATACATACATACATACTTATAGTTAGTTCACATACCAGTCCTAGAAAAGTGACGATTAATGAAAAACCTTTTCAATATTTTAAATGTCTACTATATACATATATACTTTGTACTAACTTCCGCTCAATTTTCACTAAAGCAATATGGCAATATTAGATTTACCTAATGTATTGTATGTACATACTTTAGGGTGCGACACAAAAAAAAAATTGCGGGGTTTCCACCAGAATTATACAGTTTATTATATTTAAGGGTCTTCGCCAAAACATTTCGGGATAATATTAAGAATTAAGGTAGCTTGACCGATTTGATAAATACTTCCTCATTATTTTGATTGTGTTGATAAAATTTTAAGCTTTAACTTTTCTATCATCTGAGGTGATTTTTTGGAAACAAATTATTTGCAAAACGAATTTTATTTATAAAAAACTATATTTTTTGATTCATTTTTAAATCGGCCCAGCTCCCGTAAATCTTAACAATTTTCCGAAATAAAGCGGAAGCCTTAAATTGTAGTAAATTTTATGATTCCTATGGAAACCGACAGTACCGACTTTTTTGTATGGAGAGTAATGCACCCTAATGTATGTATATGAATAAGTTATTTAAACACCTTAGAATTATTTGTTTGGTTATCAACATTAAGACGACGTTCTTAATGCATACATATACTATATACACATTAGTATGAATAAAGTTATCTATAACGAAGCTTTAAAATAAAACTACAATAATAGAAAATTATTTATTAACAACTATTGTATATTTGTTTTTGTTAAATTCAGGTTGCGAATGACGTTTTAATTCGTGCTGCTCCATACAAACAAAGGGGTAAAGGAATGCAAAGTGGAAGACCTCTTGACTCTCAGAAGGGCTTTTAGCTTCTGAAATTATCCTCTGGGAAAAGTTTAACCTGTATAAGCCACATAATCAATTGTTAATTAAGAGCAACTACCCTTTTCCTCTAGCCTGTAGGGGCCCATCAATAAACCTGTAATAACTGTTAGTTTCTCCTTTGGCAGATCCATGAGTAACCTATATCTTATCAGATTGTATCCACCTAATATGCTTTCGCCTGACGTTGACCTATGGTGTTACGCCAGTGCAATTCTCTCAGTTTGCTATTTACCTCTCTGAGCATTTCCTTTATGGTGTTGGGCCCCACTGCCAGAAAGGGCTCAGGTCCTATCGGGGTCGAGGAAACGGTCATTCTGGCCAGATAATCAGCTTCCTCATTTCATGCAACACCCATGTGCCTTGGTACCCGCATCAATTAGATATCATTAACCTCCGCCAGAGCATTAAGTCTCTCTACACAGGTCCTGAAGTTCCTTTTGAAGACCACCTGTCTCGCAAAGTTAAGGAGGGTTCGCTTTGCAACCTGTTCTAGTGAAAGATGCAGTGGCTCGAGCTCCACCCTTACATCCAGCGCTGCTGTCGGGCATGTGCGCATTGTTGAATCTTTGAGAGGGTCTGCCTCACCGTTCCCAGAGTATGCCTGCAATACCAAGCCACCGAACCATAGGTCACCATAGGTCTCACTATCACGGTGTACATCCATCTGAGCATCCTCTGAGTACACCCCCAGGATTTACCCGCTAGACGTTTGCACACCATCACCGCTCTCGTAGCCTTAGAGGAGACTGCATCAACATGGGCACTCCACAGAAGCTTTGAGTCCAGGGTAAGCCCCAAATACTTAACCTTTGTGGCGACATTGATTACGACCCCGTCTAAGGCCAAGTTCCAAGTGTAGGGGACTGTAGCCGTCTTAAAACGGTTGATATTTAAATCTGTAGATTAAAACAAACATTTATACTAATTTTTGCCCAAGGGAAAACCCTTCGTAAAATCGTTAGAGCACCAGATATGGTTTGTTTAGTTATGCCGTTCTTCCAGCAAACAAGCATACGTACATATGTACGTACATACATGTATACATATTTCTGCTAAAGGTAAGAAAATCTATTTTCCATTTTCCGCTAATACGATTACGATGCGCTTGGAGTCAAAAAGGTTACAATTTTAAATCTTGAGATCTGCCACAGAATAACCGTAAAGAGCTCCTTTTTATAAAAGTTGTCACTAGAAATTTCCACTTACAACTCGAGCTGTTGTTGCTTGAGCGAAAATACATATGATAAGAAGTTTATCTTAGACGAAACTCCAAAGCTCCACTTGAAGAATCGTCCGTTTGGCTTTAGTAAGAGTTTTAAGAAGATGAAAGGTCCAACTTAGCCTTTTTATCGAGCGTAATTTCCAGATATCCGGTCTTAACAGAACATTTTAGCCTACGTTAGATTGCGTTTGTGCCTCCTTCTGAACGGCATATATTTTCCGGATATGTTCATTAGTTACTATTTCCGGTTTTGATTCGGATAACCACTCCATAAGTATGCTTACCAAAATTGTATCGTTTATCCCTTGTGACGTGTGACTTAAAATGCTTGTAAAAATACGTATTTTTCGATCCTGCATAAACTTTTCCTGAATTGCCGGAAGTCACTTTGACCAATAATTGGAAAGGGAAAACAACAACATGTGTGAACGGAAAAAAGGAAATTGTCTAACAATTGATAACAAATCCATTAACCAATCACCGAAAACCACATATAGAATGCAACACTGCATCGAGCCACAAAATTACCGATACACTATTTGTCTCTTTCATACACACCTCTTTTAAAGCGCACGTAGCGTCGAGCTGTTGCGTTGGAACTAAAAATATTTTCTACTGACGTGTGTTTGACAAGGGATCGTCGAAGAAGCGATAAATTTGCGGCAGTATTTATTTAACTAAACGCAGTTGAAAAAGCATTTGAGTAGGGATTTTTTGGATAGTAAAAGATATAAGTAAGAGGAACTGTTCACTACAATACCAAAAAAGTTTCTAGAAAAGTGCAAGTCGAACTTTTGAATCTGTGACGCACTCCCTACACAATATAATACAGTGCATCCAGCAGCGCTTATTGGAGGCCAGCACAAGAAACTGCTAGTAGCAGAACGTTTAGAAAGTGGCAGATTACACGTAGCACCTTTTCATCTTATTTGTAGTTCAAGTAAAGTTAAGTAAAACGGCTTGGAAACACGTGTCTGGTGCACCTTCATCATGGTTGTGCCGCTGAATGATATGCTGCCTTTTGCCAGCGCAGAACGAAAGCTGGCAGCGTGCGTACTGTTGTTGTTGCTAGAACTATTTCTAGAAGGTAAGCCTTTTTAGACTGGAGCTAGGTTATATACAAAGAAATCTAGATAAATGCACTTTTCCTTGTAAAAGCGGCCTTTTTTTATTAAACAATCGTTTTTTGTTTTTATATCATCTTCCTCATATCACTTTGTTGCCACTGTGCCAACTGTGCAAACAATTTTGTATAACTGCTAATGTGCATAATAACAACAACAACACATGTGAAATGCAAATAACAACAATGAATACATAACCTTCACATAGGTGCCGAAGCGGTGCCCAATCAGGCTGACATTGAAAACCATCTGGAGCTGGGCAAAGAATTTCTAGCGCGGGGACAGCTCTCAGATGCGCTCACGCATTACCATGCAGCTGTTGGTGAGTAATAGCGAATATTATGACATAACCATTGAAGGGGAATCCATTTGTTTTACATCACATCTAACGTTTTTTGTTATAATTTAGAGGGTGATCCCAACAACTATTTGACACTTTTCAAGCGGGGCACGGTCTACTTAGCACTGGGCAAAGCGCGTTTCGCAATAACAGATTTCACTCGTGTTTTGGAACTGAAGCC